ATAAAATATTATGACTCTTTGTTAAGATAAGGCCAATAAAAAATAAATAAAAGAATCAGAAATCACAATTTATGTCAATGAGTATATTATTGGAGTCACTAGATTTTCCACTGCATTCAATAAAAAAGTCCATTTTATAGGAAGAATGAAGGAACACTAGAATTGCTAATGTAGCCCAGACCTAATATAGCACTGGCTAGAGAAGTTCCAATTCAGTATATAGCTGTAGAGTGAATAAATTAATGAGTGACTGAACATGTATGTTTGAAGAGCAAGAAAAGGACAGATGGTGCTAATAGTGGTCACAAGCCTCCCCCACCAACCCTGACTTGAAACTGCATCTTTTATTTCTAATCCATTAGCCAGCAAGCTGGGGGAGGCAGTAGATATGTCCCCAGAGTCCCTCATGATAACAAATGTCTTTATGTTTATACATCTTGAGAGTCTGTGATGGAATCAGATTCACAGTCATGGGTATAATATACTTATGGGAGGAATCTTTTGAAGAACTTGAAGAAAATGCTTTTAGATGAGTGCCTTCCTTCAGGCCTGCCATATGTTTGTATTCACTCCCTCTCTGCATTCTCTGAATATGATAAACACACTTCTCTCCAAACTCAGGATGCCCTGTTCCACGGTATGTCATTCTTGGTCATTAAATAACAGGACTTGATATTAATGTTGGCTGTCTCCATCCCTCTTTAACAAAGTGTTTTCAGCCAAAGATATTAAACTAGTCAACCTCTCTTTTCCCCTGTCAGAGAAACAGCCAGCCTCCTGAAATCACAGCTCATTTATACCACGTTGGCGTGAATATTCAGACTCCATTTGTCTCCAGCTCTTAAAGACTGGTGTTAGAGTGAATGATAGACATTTTGTTTTGAATTAGCAAAAAGGAGGAGAAAAAAAAAAAAACCCCAAGTAATAAGTTTGGCCTTAAAATATCTGTTTCAGGGAATGCAGCTCTGCTTTTTCCTCCAGTAAAAGTCGATTAAAAAAAAAAATCTAGATTTAATTTGGCATTAAGTTGGACCTGATACAGAAAATAGTAGGAAGGAAAATGTCTCAGTCTTCTCCCCCCCACCCCCCAGATTGAGCCTTTAAGCCCTACTGGAGGACTGTTCCATGGACTAGTGCAAGATGTTTGCAGCTTTGTTTTGTTGAGCATCCCAAAGCAAACTTTGGAAGTAGTTGAGTCTGTGTCCTTAAACGGTACAAATCCCATCACAGTTGGAACCTCAGACTTCTGATAGTTTTGTTTGAAAGCTAAATAGCAGGATCATTCTTTTTCTTTTTTTTTTTCTCTTTACGGCATACTCACTCATGTTTTTTGGAACAGAAGTCTGGAAAGGAGTTCTAGGCAAGAACTCCTGGCACCATTGTTTGTTTTTCTCCCTGCTATCTGTACCTTGATCTTGGTTTGCCCACCCTGACAAAACCTCTTTCCATCAACAGCCATGCTGGGTAGGAATGTGTGCTTAATGGAGGTGCCTCCTAAGGCCAGGTGCAATTCCCTGGCCAAGGAAACACCATCACTTGGCCAAAGTTACAAAGTCTGCACATGGTGATGCTGGAATGTCCTGTTACCTTCCTTATCATAAAAGTTTCAAGAACTGGGAAGACCTGAGAACCCATGCTCCTTGAGTCCTCTTGATTCCTAAGCAAACTTAGGTGTTGTTCTACAGCCACTACCAGAAATCTATAGAAAACAATTTTAGTGCAAGAGTGATCCCTTCAGATTCTGCTGTAACAAGTATAGACACACTTGAACTAAACAGGAGGCTGAATACTGTGTCAAGAGTGTCCAGAGAGGCTTCTTCTACAAAACTCAAGAGAAGATAAAGGGAAAACCCCTCTCTTTCCATACCATCTAGAGCTTCAACTGACTCCATAAATACTGGCCCACAGTGGTTATAAAAACTCCCATTTATGCTGTTCTAAAACAAGGCAAAGCCTGCTAGGTGCTTACAACTCAAAGCACTTCTTATACATGCTCATAGGAAAATTATCTTTCTCTTCATATCCTATAGCTGACTGAAGTGAATGAAATGCAGTCTGGAGGCACCTCGGCTGGCCACTGGCCACCATTCATTTGGAATACCCCACCTAGGCCATTCATGGATTGCAGAGCTGTTTTCTCTTGACTTCAGAATTTCTCCCTGTTCATTTTATACAAATAGCAATTTATGTAAAATCCACTGACACAGGTACCATTAGCACTTCAGGTCCCTGAGTGAAAAATGGCATCTTTTCCCTGGCAACTTGAAGAATACCAAGAGGAAAGTACAGAAGTGGAGGGTACTTGAAGAAATCTGGTATCTCAAAGTTTATTTTTAGGAAATGGAAGGGGGTATGCAGAGAAGGAGGAAATTTACAAGCCTCTGACAGGGTCTCCTGCTAATAATCAGACAATCCAAAGAAAGATCGTGGGTTTCTGCTAGAGAAAGAGAACCAATGGAGAAATGGAGGCCTGGGGTGGGGTGGGGGAGGTGTTGGTGCATGGAGAAGCAAGGAAAAGAAATGACAGTTTAGAAAATAACAGAGAAATGAATGAATAGTTTTCCTCCTTTTGTTTGTATCACACTAAGCAGGAGAAAAGTGGGAAATTCAGGGCTGGGGTGAAGATGGCCCAATTAGAAATTGCTTTTGATAGTGAGACCCAGAGAGGAGAAGCTTGCTATGGCCACCATGACTCAGGGCCTGGTCCATTCATGCATCATTAGCCCCCATTCTGTCCTGTGCATGAAACAGGAAAATATCACCAAAACCTCCTTGAAGGCATAGGAAGTGTGGGGAGACCAATGCACTATGGAAGGGGTTCAGTGCAAAGGAGGTACATTCCCCTCAACTGAGTCCTTTACTGACTGTCTGGACAAGACGCTGTTCTGTGGCAGAGGAGTCCCAGTCACCCGACCTTCTGTCTCTTTGGACATTGAGGAGTCTAATCCTGGACCTCCCCTACTGTCCAGTCTGATCAGTTCTGATTGTGACAGAGAAAATGGTCCTAAAGGGAAGTGCTGATGTATGATAGCCCTGGGCAAGCAGCTGGGGAGTCAAACTCATTCTCGTGGGTGGAGCTGGCTAGAGAGGAGCAAGCTCGGGCAGAGAAAGCTCCCCAGGAATGGTTTGGGGCAAAGCCCTAAAAGAGAGGACAGAAAAAGTTATAAAATAGGACCAAAGGAATAAGTGAAGAGAGAAATAGATAGACATCTGCAGTTGCTAGTACACATATTCTTACACTAGAAATGCCATTTAGATTTCTTCCTCCTGCTATTTACCAGGCAAACTTTCTACATGCAATTTCTAGTGGCATTGTTAAACCACTGCTCCTCCCCCTCTGCAATCTTTCTGGGTGGCCTCATAATTCCTATGTGTAGGTTATGATTATGAAAATTTCTATCTCTAGTTATTACCTGGGCTTCAGACTTGCATAGCCCTTGTATTCTAGACACACACCCTTGGTTGTCGCACAGGCCCTTAAACTCAGCAAGTCTCAGTCTAAACTCACTGTCCTTCCCTCTTGGCTCCCAAAAGAGTGTTCTCAGTATCTGGAGCAGGTCCATGTTATTTACTCTTTGAGAAGCGAGGTAAGTCTCCTGCCATCAGTTAATCATATTATTTTTTTTTTTCAGTCTCTGTCTCCAGCTTTGACTTATTTCCACTTTTTGGAAGTCAGGAGACAGGCAGCAAGTGAGGAGAAAGCACTACTAATAATCATTATTTGGAGGTAGTCTTAAAGCAAATTATGGGTGCAGAGACTTGTATCTTACCTCTCCATTCATTTATTCATTTAATAAGTACTATTGAGTGCTCACTATTTACAAAGCCTCCTCTAGTACTATGAAAGATGTAAAAGGCACACTTTTCAGCTTCAAAAATTATTTAATAAAACAGGGAAGTGAGAGATGTATATAAAGGACTGCAACATACTGTAGGAAAACCAAATATTCTAAGAGTGGCGTAAATGCTAAGGGAGTTCAGGAAAGGAGACTCAGAGAGCTGTCCATATGCAACAAACTAAAAATCAGCATATAGGGGAAAAAAAATGATGGGATGTTAGAGACTGAGTTGCGTTCCCACAAATTCACATGTTGAAATCTTAGCTCCGAATAACTGAGAATATAAACAAATTTGGAGATCTGGTCATCACAGAGGTGATTAAGTTAAGATGAAATCTTTAGAGCATGCATTAGTCCGATATGACTGTGGCCCTTCTAAGAAGAGCAAGATGTTGGACAGAGGGAGCACACCAAACATGCGCTGGCAGTGGGATGCTATGTGAAGACCCAGGAAAAGAGGGCCATCTACAAGTCAAGGAGAGAAGCCTTCGAAGAAAACAAACCTGTCAACTCCTTCACCTTGAACTTCCAGCCTTTGTAACTGTGAGAAAATAAATCTCTGCTGTGTAAGCCACCCGGTCTGCGGTATTTTGCTTTGGCAGCCACAGAAAACCACTTCTCCCTACTAGTGCCAGCCTTGGAAAAACTGTGAATGAGTGAAGTTTCCTTTAGCTTCTCCATCCTCTACCTTCTGAAAGCTCCTCTTTCTGCTCCCCGGGTAGACCGTCTACTGGTAGAAGTTCTTCCAGGTGAGGAGGATTTGCTGAGAGTGAAGAGTACTTCCTCCTGAAATCATTGTTTGTTCAAAGGTGAGCTCCTTTACCCTGAAGACTGCCTTATCATCTCTCTATTCCCTCAAGTCAGCAACATTCTTGGGAAGTGAGAACTTCATTATTGATTGGGGACTGTTTTGCTTAATATACTATAGATGCAGGAAAAAAATTAAAATTAAAGTAAAGCAAATCATATTACAAAACAGGAAAACAATTCTTTAAAACTTGATAGATTACTTGGTAAATAAACTATGAAGGGCATAGCAGAACCCTTGGTTTCTCACAATGAATCTTTAGGTGCGAGAATTTAGACAATCAGGCAGAAAGGCTATGTAATTGCTAAGATCAGAGCCTGCTCCACCAGCAAAATCACATAAACACTACTCACAGGTAAGCAATCAAATGTCTGCTCGTGAACCTCTGGTTGATTACCAGTCCCTATGAATTCGGCTGGATGATCTTCAAGCTTTTCAATGATTACCTGGTATAAAAGGATGGAAACTCAGTGCAGTGAATTTTAGTTAATGCACAACTATTTCAAATATTTAAGATACAATTTCTTCCTCAGGTACTGATATTAGTTAGGACCATCAAAGGGAAATAAAGCACAGATATAAATAGATATTGCATTTGCAATTGATAGTTGCATTTTAAAGAAAATTAATACAATTATTACAGAGTCATTCCCTAAATTCTTCTAAATAATGGAGGTGAGAGATGGTTTGTACAAAGCAGGGAGCACTACCAAAGCCAACAATAAAAGACCAAAGGCATTAGAACATAGCCAGGGACACTGTCTTTTCTAAGTTCACCTTCAAAACCTTCTAAACCTCAGACTCTCAAAGTCTTTTTGGACCCTTTGCTTTGCTATTGATGGTTAGGAACTTGGTTAATAGGTAAAAGAGGAGGCTCCAGAAGATTACAAATAATGATAGAATGCCCTAGTAGATAATCTAGAGGTAACTCTCTTGTACTTGAAACACAGCAACAAATATTAAATATTAGACCAAAGAAATAATGAACTGCAGCCGCAAATCACCATCGCATCCCTAACCTGCCCTAGCATGATGCAACAAGGATGCTGTGAGTATGAGTGTGGGAAGTGCAGCTCTGGGTTTTAATGTTTGCCTTTTTTGGTAGAATAATGGGGCCCACATGGACCTTAAGAACACAGCTTGCTTTCCCCCATCCCATTCTTTGATTTTTGCGTTGGAAGGAAATAGAAGTTCTTGGAGTTTAGGGACTGGCTTGGAATCCCACTGTTGGGAATCAATCTTAGATTCCTAGATTCTCATTCCAGATTTCACAGGTAAAAAGCAAACCAAACAAAAACCTGCCTAGCATGGTATTGATGGTGTGTATCCATCTCAGGAAGGCTGGTTTGCAAAGTAGGGATGGGGAACCCTGAGGGGCTTGTAAATTATTCAGCAGGGCCAGGTGTTATTTCTTATTCCGTTTCTTTATTCGTGAGCAGACATTCAGGCTATCTTCAGCCCCCCTCCTTGTGCCTCTACCATCTCCTCCTATTTGTCCAAAATGCACACTTCACCTGTTCTATTGTTGTACATCTACAGCACCTTGCTCATTATTCTGGGGATGTGGGTGTTGATCTTAGGAGCCTAGTATCTAGTTGGAGTGATAAAAGATATAATTATCCTTCTAGGTTACAATGCCAGAAAGTGATAAGAGCTCCAAATCCCATTTAAATTCCTTTTCTCCTACTGTTGGCCTCATTTTGGAGGTCTTTCTTATAAAACTGCAGAAAACGGGGACAAGAAAATCTGTGAGACATCTGCTAGCTGGAGAAGTTGCTCAAGCCTGGTTTACAGTCTAGTTCCCTACAGCTCCTAGGCTTCTGCCAGCATGCAGCAGGGCATCAAGAAATTTTGTTGAGTGAGTGAACAAAACCTATGAGTTAGAGGGGGGTGATGAACTCCTCAAAACTGTAGGCCAGATTTTGTGTGTTAACTTTCATTCATTTCTGAAAGTAGTCTCTGCTCCCTTTCCCCTCCACACCCCCAAATTAAGAACCACTGCCTAAATGATTAGGATAGCACTAGTACCTGTGCGTTAAGTTGCTTCAGTCATGTCCGACTCTTTGCAATCCCATGGACTGTAGCCCTCTAGACTCTTCTGTCCATGGGATATTCCAGGCAAGAACACTGGAGTGGGTTGCCATGCCCTCTTCCAGGGGATCTTCCCTACCCAGGGATCGAACCCACAGCTCTTATGTCTCCAGCATTGGCAGTGGGGTTCTTTATCATTAGTGCCATCTGGGGAGCCCTGGCATAGCACGAGAGGATAGTGTTTAGAAGAGAACAAATCCTACGAGTAAAGTTACAAACAAATAAGGATTGGGTACCTAGTCCCAATGCTGCCACATCCAGACCTACTGCATCTATTCCGTGGCCTTTCTTTCATCATCTCTAGAATGCAGGGAAGGCATGATCCCTGACCCTCCTAACTGCAGGGCTGCTTCAAGGGCCTAAGAGTTAGTTGATGGTCTTGACCTTGGCTGTACACTACAATCACCCAAGGAGCTCTGAAAAAATGACCCAACCCTGGGCTCCTCCTTTGATCAACCTAACGAGGATTTGGGGGGTTAGGCCCCAGGCATACGTGTTTCTCAGCTGTCCCCAGTGAGTCTAAAGTGCTGGCAGGTTGCAAGTCACTGAGATAAAGACGCAAACTTCTTTTCCAAATCCTTGAGCCCTGTGCACATGTAGGGTGTAGGTTGAGAGATTCCCCTCCAGGTCCTGCTCCTCTCTATGTGCCAGGAACATATCAGAGATTTGCCAGTGAACAAACAGCCGCTGAACCTGGCTTCATGGCACTTACAGTACACTGTTCCCCTAGAATTGAGCCTCTCAGACTGGCTGCATATCAAAATCTTCTGGGAGAGCTTTTTCAAGAAAATATGATATGGGAAATTCCAGAGAGGTGTCCAAAAATTTGCACATTATAAGAAGTTCCTTGCATTCAGATGCTGATGCAGATTACAGTACCCACTCCACATGTTGCTCTTGCTGTTGTTTAGTTGCTTAATCATGCCTGACTCTTGGCTACCCTGTGGACTGTGGCCCTCCAGGGTTTCCCAGGCAAGAATACTGGAATGGGTTGCCATTTCCTTCTCCAGGGATCTTCCCCACCCAGGGATTGAACCCAGGTCTCCTGCAGTGGCAGGTGGATTTTTTGCCACTGAGCCACCAGGGAAGTCCACCCCTTCCACACAGGCCTCTCATTCTTGACCCTCAGGCTTCATCAAAGGAACAGGAGACTAGAAGAAATCATGGAGTTACTTGCCTAATGAATGAACCAAGAGACTTAAACTTGTAGGGAAAAAAATCCTCAGTACCTTCCCCCAAACCCTCTGGCAGGGTCAGTACTTATTTGCCTAGTTTCCCTTTCCCTGTTCCCAATTCCCTCAGTATTTTTATTTTTAAAATTGGGAATGAATAAGGAAAAATATAAAGAAATCGGGGACCTGGGGAAATGTTTCTTTTTTGGTCTGTAGAGTCTATGTATATGTTAATGAACCATCTTGTTAGTGAGACAAAGACAGAAAGGCTTTTGAGAGAAATCATAAGGTGAATAGCACAGTGACTAAACAGAGAGTTTGTCTTCACATATACTTTTTATTTTCAGATTGAGGACGGAAGGGCCAGAAAGTTGATGAAGCTCTCATTTGCTGTTTCAAGACCATGTCCGCTACCTCACAACTTCAGATTCTTGCCTGGGTGAACCATTATTCGCTGGATCCCTCCACGCTTTTCATTCGGTGCCCAACATATAGAGACGGGCTGACCTGGCTCAGAGGCAGCTGCTGAAATTCTCTGCAGGCAAAGCTAAGTCTAGACCGGACATGGTAAGGAAGGGAACGACCCGAGATGAAGGAAGAGGGGCCGGAAGAGCGAGCAGGACGGCGTGAGGCAAATAAGCCCCGCTGCCTCGGTCGTCGCCTTCCCAGCCAGTGGCAAACGGCCAGGTGCTATTTATTGCTCCTTTGATTGAACTGTCTGCTCAGGCTTGTGGGGAAATTGGGGTTTTATATGAAAGCATTCACTAAGGGAGAATCAAGGTGTAATAAAAAGAAAGGAGGAATTTCTTTCCTTTCAATCAGCTTTCCAGTCTTTTAAGGGGAGTGATTTTCTTAAAACCCTCAGGAAACCTCTAGGTAAAGCCATTCAGTAGCATGAGGAGCAGGACCTAGCACCTTCCTGGGTTACACAAATGGAAAAATATTGACTGTACATACTTGCAAAAAGTGGTTATGCTTCTTTAAAATTCCTAACACAAGTGTTCACAGAAAGATGCCATATTCCAAAAGGATACCAAGCGGTCGGATAAAGGAGAGTATCTCAAATGATAACTTATTATAACAGGGAGTTAGTGAAAAGGTTCAATTAGAGATCCTTTATAAAAAAAGAATAACTTCATGGAGTCAACAAGAAGAACCGGGTTTTCATTAATTTAGATATTGCCTTGTGGAGTTGAGTTAGGATCCTTTGATTTCAACATTAATATTTATATTAAAAAATCCCCCATGACACTTTTGTAATATGCTCTGCTCTCCTCATGGAGACTCTGATAACTACTGTGTGTTAAGGGTTTTTAGTGCCAGGCCCTGTGCTAAACTCCTTTCATACATCTATCTCATTTATCACTACAACAACTAATGAGATACATGTTCTTAACCTAGGAGAAGCCCTGAGAAATTTGTTGTGTTTAACACATTGGCCTAAATTCACCCAGCTAATAAGTAATGAAGCCAGTATTCAAATCCGGGGTAGACCCAGCCTGACAGGTATATGAGAAGGATACATGCCCACATTCATTTACAGATTGAGTGAGTTCTCTAAGCCAGAACTGGACACATAGTGAGGAGCAAGGACTCTGCTCTCATGGGAGTTATATTCCGGTGGAGTACAGATAGCATGCATGTTTCCAATAGTGAGCAAATAAAAGAGCCTAACGTGATAGAGGGCCACTGAATGTTGGATGGTGAGAGATGGTCTCTCTGAAGAGTAGATACCTAGGCTGAAAATATACTTCTAGTTTAAGGAGTCACTCATGTGAAGAGTGTTTCTGGAAGAGCCTTTGAGAATCCTGGTGGGAGGTAGAGGGTTTTATGAGATGACTGTGTGTTCTGTGATCATGAAACTCTTCCAAGCTGTTCAGTCCATATGGGATTCAGGCTTATCTGTCCATTAGCAGAATATACAATGCTGAAAGATGTGCTGAACAGAAAGGGACTTACCAAAAAAAAAAAAAGATTGTCAGAGCACCACCTTTGCCCGAAAGCATGAGGATGGTAAAGGTGCTGATCATCTGTCTCTAACCATCAGGGAGCATGCCAGGGATACCTGTGCATCCAATGCCCAGGACAATAGACTACGCTTTTCATTCGGTGCCCAACATATAGAGACGGGCTGACCTGGCTCAGAGGCAGCTGCTGAAATTCTCTGCAGGCAAAGCTAAGTC